TTTATTATCGGCTGAACCTGCGGATTGTTCGGATTGATTGGATTTAGACTGGCTTCGAACCGCGCCATGATTTCATGACACGCCTCGACGGTACCCGTGGCTAACAGCTCGCTCGCCCAAGTGTGATAGAGCACGACACGGTGTTGCGACAAAATGCTTAGAGGGTACAGGTTGCAGATGGCGGAATATTGGCTCAACAGCTCTAAACATTTGCTTATGGAGAAGGCCTGATCGGTAGCCAGTTGCATCAGCTCGTTCTCCGACTGTTCGCATTGCACTATCATCTGACTTTGTCCGGCGTTTTGCAGAAATTCCTTCACGAGGTCGAACACTACGTGATCTTGTTGATTGGTCAAGTTTCCCAATTCCGCCAGCCACTGTCCAAGTTGGGATCCTCGTACTGCGGCCAGCGCGATCTGAAAAAAAAAAAAAAAAAAATAACGAATCATCAAATAAAATATCGCGCAGAAACATTATATAATCGAGATTGCGATTGTGCTCGAGAGCGTCAACTCACATTGTGCATATTTATCTGTTTCTCGCACTCCTCTATCTTCTCCTTCAAGCCTGTCTTTGCCTTCTCATGAGAATCTCGTGCTCGTTTGAACGAATTGTATCGCTTAACTAGCGAATATAACGCGTGATTCCGACCGATTGCCTGCGCCTCTTTCACTAGCGCGAGCTGCTGATGTCGGTCCTGCAATAAATCCTGGCACTGACGCGACGCTTCGGTCGCCTCGATCCAGCTGTTCAAGTGATGGCACAGCAGCGGCAAGTTTTTAGCCAATTCATCTCTGATTCCATCCCATGAAAGTATTACAAGTTATTCCTCATACAAACGGAGGATAAATGCAAATAACGATACAAAAAAGATACAAGTTGAAGTACGTAAAGAAGCTAGATTGAAACTTTTTCATCATTATCGAAGCCTTTTACCATAGTAGTGGATTCGATAGTGGATGTTGAAAGGGAAGAAGAGAAATGTATGTTTTTTTTTAAATAGTAGGAAAGTAAAATAGAAATATTGTTCTCTCACCGATTAGCTAGCCACTCGGCGCGCATCTCCGCCGTTCTTACTGCAAACATTGCACGCGTGAGCTCCTGCTCCAACTGTTTTCTTCCAACGCCGGTGCATCTCGCTCTAGCCTGACAAGCACCGTAACTCGCTATGCTGGTGTCCGCGCCCGCCCGCCAATCTACCAAAGGATCGTAGACGAACGCCTCCAGCAAGGTCAATAGCGTCTCGCGGCCTCTACGCATCACTCTTAGAGTATGCTCGGAAGCGAACCTAAATATACCCTGGACATAAATAGTGATTTCTACCATTATATATATATATATACATATATACATACGTACTATTTATAGATGCTGGAGCATTGCTACGGAATATAACAACACACGTGATCACTCATGATTGTGCATTCGTTCATCTCCCATCGACCTTTTACGATTACCGGACAAGCCGCTGATAGCGCCGGCTGATAATTTAATATGGCAGTTCTTTCTTTGCCAGGGAAACCATTAAATGAATAGATAAGTAAAAGCACTCCTGGACAAGGTACCAGCGTGTCGTATCTGCCAAATCGTTTTGTATCGATCTACGCTCTCATGTGCGAGAGATATCGCAGCTATTGTGAAGGCTAACGCCGCATCATTAACAACTAAACTACATTCCAAATTATTAACTTGTTTCCTCTAAAAAGTGACGAAACAAACGAGAGGTATCGTTATTTTTCGTTTTGAAAATCAGAATTGCTGCTTATATTTGCGGAAATTAATTTATTATGAATATTTCGTAGGTTTACGTAATCGTAATGCACAATTCGCAGTGTATCTTGACATTTCGTAGAGTATCATCGAAAATCCATTTCTTTCCGTGTGTATGTACGCGTATGCGTACGAAAGGTAAGTAATATTAACGATATTAGCTGACTGATCGTTTTTCACATATTTCATATTTTTAGCGTACAAGTCATTCCGATGGTTTTACGAAACTGAAAAAACGATCTCGTAAGACACAAATGGCCATGACTGATGTATAAAGTGTGCCACGAAGAAGACATATATCCTCAGTTTAATTTCTCTGTAAATGGATGCATCCGGATGCAAGTTTTCTTATTCCTAAAAGAATTATTACTATTTGTTCTTTGATCATTTTTAAGAGAAACTTTAATGGGAAGCCGTAAAAAGGAATCTTATATGTTTAAATTCGAGTGCAAACTTGAAAAATTCTTTTTCTACTAACTATTTACTTAAAACACGCATACACATGCGCACATAATATATCTATACGCAAATTTCAAGTTTCTTTTCAGAACTGTGTACTCGTATTTGGAGGAAAGCGACATTATTGAAATGAACACGGCCGATTCGTCGGAAGCAAACAGCACCGATAATGAACAGAACAGTTACGTGTTATGGATCTTGCTGGACTGTTTCCTGTTTGTTGCAATCATATTGGGGAATATCCTGACAATATTGGCCATCACGTGGGCTCGTAAGCTCCGAAGCGTCATTTCGAATTACTTTATCCTAAACCTAGCGATATCGGATTTTATGGTGGGCATAACGGTACCGTATCATTTGGCGTTTTACGTGGACAGTGCGTTACACCGCAACAAGTCGGTGTGCATCTCGCGTTTCGTCATGTTTATCTTAGCCTGCGGCGGGAGCATATACAATCTCATAATGATCGCCATAGACCGATACGTCGCTATTGTGCATCCATTGAGCTATAACGCATACGCGACCAAAAGACGCGTGCTGCTGATTATAGTCGTCGCTTGGATATGCACTATGGGCGTGTCATCGATTCCGATATATTGGAATTGGTTCGATAAGTCACCCTCGTGTGAATTGGAAACGGTATTGCCGAGGTACACCGCATCTATTCTACCGCTATTCTACCTCTATTCTATCGATTCTTCGTTTTCAATATTCCATGCGTAATACGCATGAGAGCTGCGTAATCACACATTTATTATTTCACATTCGATAATTGTCATAAAAAGAAAATTATTAGGTGTTGGAATTAATTCGTAGCGTTTTACAAGTGATGGGAAGTACTTTCATTAATGTATTTTTTAATGCTCATGTGAAATAAATAACATTCTTTCATTAAAAACGCTACGAATTAATTCCAACACCTAATAATTGTTTTCGATCGATCGAGTTTATTATTTGAAAGCAGCTGCTCACGTGCGACTGTATATAAAAAATTGTATATATAAAAATTTATATCATAAATTAATACATTATTTTGGTAGATATTACATAGTGGCTATACAGATACCGGCATTCTTTCTCAGTTGGATAGCAATGTTTCTGCTATATTGGAAAATTTGGAGAGAAGCGCATATGCACGCGCGTCGCATGAACCTCGGCGTCATTCCGAATATCGCTGAGAAAAACGATCGCAAAAGCGTACAGGTATAGTATTATATGACATATTATGTTTTAAATCAAGGTATAAAGGTACAGAAAACTGAATTTGTTGCAAAGATGAATTAAAAGTTTTACAAGTGTAGCGATATTAACGAGTGATAATAATAACAATAATGTTCGGATTAGGTGGTACTGCTGATATTGGGCTGTTTTTCGATCTGTTGGTTTCCTTATTTCATCATAGTTTGCATGCGAACCTTTGGTTGGAAAACAAAGTCGTTAACGATTTGGTACAAATCTACATTCGCATTGGCCATTGCTAACAGCGGAATGAATCCCTTCATATACGCGTGGAAAAATACCAACTTTCGTAAGGCCTTTCAAAAGATTTTACATTTTAAATCGCCCAATAGCAATTTCAACTCCAGTTTCAAAATGTACTTGGAAAAACAACGAAAGTTAAATAATCAGGCAGATATACAAGATAGTCAGCATACAAATACAGGAAGAAACAACAATTCGCACAAATGTTCACCCGAGCGCCAATCTGATCATGCAGAAGAAAACAGAACGGAAAACACAATTTTTTAAATATCATTCGTCTCATCATTTAACTAAAAGTTATCTAATAGAAGAACAAATTGTAAATTGTAAATTTCATTTTCCTTCAATCATTTATCCCCCCTCCCACCCCTCTCTCTTTCTCTCAACTGAAAATATTAAAATGAAGAAATTATAAATGTATATATAAAGAATTGTAAACACAAGAGACATTCGTTAGACGCAAAATTAAAACATTTCGAGTGCGAGTGTGTAAAAATTTCCAAAATCGATGCAGTTTCCGAGGATATTAAAATTTTATAATCGTAATTGGACTTTTGTTATAACTAGAATTAAAAAGTACCAACTATTCATTATTTCTTCACCTTTTCCGATAAGATTTTCTCGATAAGATTATCAGAAGACTTACCTCGACTCCGGTTACTCCTAAAGCCGTTTTAATATTTGGCGTCATACGGAATGGCACCTTTTCCGGGACACGTAAAGTTTTTCCCTTCTCGAAGCAGACATTGTAATCAATGTGTACAACTTCGCCGGTGTTAAGGTCAACGAGAACGTTATCCAAATGCCTGTCGCCTAAACCTATGATGTAGCCAATTATGGACATTACGGCAACAGAATATGAGTAGTTCTTGGTAGCTTGCCACCAGCTGCCGGCATTGATACTGTTACACCAGATCTCTCTGCAATGCATATTGGGAAGATAAAGGGAAAATATGAGAAAAATAAATACAGAGAAAGAGAGAGAGAGAGAGAGAGAGAGAGAATAGATGTCGAAAGATTCTATTGAAAAGTACACTAATGCTCATTTTTATTACAACTAACTTTGCCAGTAGATCCTTCGGAGTCTCCCTCATTAATTCCTCCAAAACTTTTTTCAGTACATGAATAGGCCACTCCTTTCGATTCTCCAAGCCGATCCCGCACTCTTTCAACAACGGCGTCAACTTGTTGTAAAACAGTTCTGACGGTCGCATAATAGCAGAATTGCCGCCACCAGTCTTGCTGACGGCGCACTCACGCTGCTGCCATCGCTTATAAAGTATAAACAGTGGCGTAACGCCGTCGACCCATTGAATAAGACCGGATCTAGGACCTAAAGGGATCACTGAATAGTGCCGCGCTCTGTAGACCTTGGTATCGCTATTCTTTGACATCATAGTGTTACATATACTCAGGAATTGCATTATCCTCTCGTCCAGATGCAGATCCTCTAGTCCCTTGAACAAATACGTATAAACGTGGCCGTCGGATCCGTGGAATATCAATTTTTTAGGCTTTGTCTTCGTCGGTAGAATCTGAACATTATTATCCACCGACATAATGGTGACGATTCTGTTATCGATGGCAGCGACGCCCGGCATGGCGATACGGGTGTCCTTCAGATTAGCCAGAATAGGACTGATGTCCATCATTGACAGAGAATAAGCGGCTCGTCGGTGTACGCGTTGTGCTAACTTGGTTTCCAAATGTTTCAAGGCCAAACTGGCCATTTGGGGCTTTGCTGGATTCTTGGGATTGTTCAATCGATTTATCACCTCCTCTATAGAAGCACCAAACTTCTCCTGAAAGGTCTTCTCGTGTGGCGTCTCGGCAGGTACAGACGTCATAGATAGCAGATTCTCTAATATAAATGTAATTGGCTTCAAAATAATCCTATGCTTCTCCGCGATCAATTTATCCTTCTCTTCGAGCGTAAGCCATATATTGTCCTGCACCCGCTGAATCTCAATTTCTAGCTGCTCGAATCGTTTGGTAATCTCGGTGTGATGTTGGCACAATGTTGCCAACCACAGTTCGTCCCACAACAATGTGATTCGTCTGAGTTCCTTCACTAGCACTTTCACTTGAATCACCGAATCCTGTATACGATTCGAGAGACAATCGACTAACTGCGAGAAATAGGAATCCATGAAACTCTCATGTTCGTCGTTATATGCAATTGCTTCCGCTACTGTCTTTTCTTCATCGTCGTCATCGTCCTCCTCCTTCTCTTCCTTCTCTTGCTCCTCTTCATCATCCTCCTCCTCCTCCTCTTCCTCTTCCTCCTCCTCCTCCTCCTCCTCCTCTTCCTCCTCCTCCTCCTCCTCTTCTTCCTCTTCCTCTTCTTCTTCCTCCTCCTCCTCTTCCTCCTCGTCCTCCTCTTCCCCATCATCATTCTCCTCTCCTTCTTTTCCCTCTCGTTTCTCCATAACAGCATTCAAATCTACATCATTCTGCGAGCTATCATTGTCATCGGGCTTTTCGTAAGGGCTTACGACCTTGCCGTACATCTTCTTCTGCCCAGATACTGCGCCCACCACGGCCGGGAACGTAATCAAATGCGGCGAATTCTCGGCCACTCGACACAACAGCTCGGATACCTGTGTCCTCACGTACGTCTCAGGATGACTGAGTCTCGAAAATAACTGCGGTATAATCTCTTTCCATGGCGCGGTCGGGGTTGCCGAGAGACCGGCTTCGAGGACATTCTGCAATTCGAGAGCGTGCTTCACCACGAGTCTCAGTAATCTCAACGTTGCCGTGATGGTGTCGCACTCGTTGCTGTCATTATTCGCTAATTGCAAATATTTGAAGTATGCATTCGCTGAAAGCTCGTAATATGAATAGATCCTTTTCTGCGCCTGTCGCCAGATGTCAACCAGCATACCGAGATGTTCGTTGCTGGCGTGACTTAAGACCGACACGTTCCTCAGTTGATTCTCTATCATGTCAGATGTGTTTATGTCGTTCATGTCAATATCGCCCTCGTCCTCGGGTATGGTTTTGTTCTGGCTTAGTATAGAGAAAATGGTGTTGAGATCAGTTTCGGCTATATCCATCGGCAGTAACGACTGTATGTTTATCCGGTCAGTATCCGTCAATTGACCAGAATTGGAGTTATCCACAATCTTCCGGCCCCATTTGTAACACCAAGCGGCAAAACTGGACCAGGCACGCGGCAGATCCGGACACTGATTTACGCCAAGTTGCATCAGTTTACCGATTATCATGTCCGACGTAGGAATCAGATCGATCGTCTCGCCAAATAGTTTATCCATCAGGCCATCGTTGTGCATAGCTTCGAATCGGAGCAATTCCTCCAATTGAGGATTCTCCTTCACGTTTGTGTCCTGTTGTATCCACTTACCCAGGGTAAGCAACAGCTTGGTTCCCGTTTCCCGTAAATCGGCAGACTGCTCGCCACTGACGATCGCTTGCGAAATCCCCAACGCGGTTACGCAACACATCCTCAAAGCCTCGCTCGTCTTCTCCATGTCATACAATAATTTCGACAATTCTCTGAATGCGCGCATACTACTCTTAGTCCATTTCACATGGATAGGCCCGTTCAGCATGCCGTTTGTGATCTCGGTGAAAGTGCAAGCGGTCGGATTCTCCAGTCGAATGAGGTCTTGCTCCGATTTCAAGTACTTGACCATCTCTCGTTTCGCTAAATTAAAGTTGCCTTCTTTCCTGGCCGTTCTGACAACATGTAATCGTAGACTGTCCACCTCCGTAGAGCCGCTGTCGCATGCTTGATCCAGATACTCGGACCACCACAATACCTGCGTTAAAATATTGGAATTGATATTACTCACTTTATCAACCTTGTATAATTCGAAAACGTTCTTGTCCTTCTTGCCGTGCGATATGTTCTTCAACCCCGTCGCAGAATACTGAAGCAGTATAGCATCACTGAGATACTCCGACGGCACATTCCGCAATCCGTCCTGCATCATCTTGGCCGCAACCTTTTGGCATCTCTCAATAATACTATCATCAAACGAATCATCGAATTCGTTAAGGCGAATTCTGAGTGCAACGTTCGTCAAACTGTTGCTGCATGCAGCCAGCGTTTTTGCGCAGCTCCAATTACTTTTCTTCTCCAGCAGGTTCCAATTCGACAATTCGTCCAAGCAGATCAGTTTGCCCTCCTCGAACTTTTTCAGACAATCCGCCTGCTGCGGAACAATATTTTCTGCAATTTGCTTCCTCACGGCGGCATAATTCTCTTGCGTCAGTATCTCGGTCTCTCGTGATTTCCATTCCACTAATCCAGACCAGTCACTGACCGCTTTATAACAAATGGAAAGTCTTTGCATGCAGAAGCCCAGCACTTGACTGTCGCTCTCGAGTCTCGCAGTTCTGCCGCCTTCGTCGTCGTTTGTTTTAACGTGATCATGATCGTCGACGATTTGCTTGTAGGCATCCGCCGCTGATTCGTAACGCCCGGCAGCCTCCTCCATCGCTGCTTTCAACCAGGAGAACTGTCTGTCCTTGCTCTTGGTGTAAAGGTAGAGCCCCTGCAACGCCTCCGCTTCGCCGAGCGCGACCATCGCCTGCGTAGTCCACAATGTTGCCCTCTCAAATTCGATACCTTGTGTATTATCAGCATTGCTCAAATCCTCTAGTAATCTCTGACCGTTTCGCAGCGCACTCGTCGCTAGGCCGGAGTGCAACGAGACTACGCATAAGGCCAACCGTATGCGATTCAGCCATTCCTTGCACGTCGACTTGTTCGTATGAAAAAAGGTTCTGACTGGTTTTGACAGTGGTAAGAGCGCCATCGCGCAACCATCGGCCGCATTGTGAATCACTCTTTCCAAATGTTCCAGGAACTCGATGAAGAGTCGTACTCGCGTATGCTCGTGCAAGATGCGATCTAATTCCTGGCTCTCTAATCCCTGCTTCTTCACCACGTCTAGGTTGTGGCACGATATCTCGCGAGCCAGAATCTTCAGAGCACTCTCGATCGACGTAAACGTTTCCTGTGGCTTCCCTAGAGAAGTACGTAGCTTGTTGAGGACACAATGTTGCGCAGCCTCGAAACCGCTCCAGAAAAACAGAAACGAACAATTTGCCAATGCCAAATCATACATCCTCGCTGTAGTTCCGTTCTCTGGTCTGCACGGAGAAACGTTTCGTGTGATTATCACCGTTTTCGCGAAAGAATAATCTTGGATAAAGAGTACTTACACAGCTGGCCAACATAAAGTAAATATTTCCGATAACCCGGATGCGTCGAGATAATGTTCTTGCAGTAGAAAAGCCATGTACGTTTTGAAATGCTGCGCCAACAATTCCCCATTGTTGTTACTTCGCAT